AAAACATAATTTTCTCTGTAACTGAAAGCAGATAAGAGTAAGCTCTTTTCTTTGGACAACATTTATATCCGTGCACATAGTTTATGATAAACCCGGGGGCTGTGGAAGGAGATGGAGCGGGGGCTTTTATGCATCTCTGTGGGAATACAGAATGGGCTGTGATTGTAAATACATGCTTTTAAAAAGGGGGCCAAACATTGAAACCATAAGGCATTTCACTTCATGTTCTGAAATTCACAGCTATTAAAACATTTGAAACTGTCTTTCTGTGGCCAAATTTGTCGAGTCCAACCGGAGGTGAGCAACAAAAACAAAGAAACCTGGAGGCCACAGCAGAGTGAGACTGAGGGCTCAGAGTTTCTACACCTCATCAGTTCAGTCTGTGACTCAGACTGGACCGATGACTCAGAGCCAGGCTTGAAATGGTTTTATGAGAGTCTTCAGCTAATGACTGACAAGTGAAGAACAGAACAGACTCTTTAGTAAATGCTGTATGAACAGCAGCGCCTGTGGAAGGAGGTTTAACTCAAGCATGGGCAAACTAAGGCCCAGGTCCCAGATGTGGCCCGTTCATCTTTTTAATTCGGCCCGCCAAACTTTGCCAAATTATATAATTTATTTATACTATCATTATACTTCTGCCTTTTCCCTGCAATACCCACGTTTCCCCAATAGATGGCGAAGAAAATGATAAAAGCATTTTAGCCTTTATGCATGACTTTTACATGTTATTTATCTTAGTTCACACAAAAGCTCCATCTATCTGCTCCTGACCCCGCCACCCTGCTCAATTTTAGGACAATTGTGGCCTGAGAGTCAAACAGTTCGCCCACGGCTGGTGTAACTAGTTGACAGCCAGTTAACATGAGCTAACCAAACCAAACCATACAACGAAGAAATGTTTTCACTTGGCAGTCTACAGGTATGTTGAACAGATGGTGGCTTGAATGTGACGTGAGCCACCATTGGTCTATAGGTACTTTAACTGCCTTTCAATTGGAAATGTAATTTCAAGACCACTGGCAGAAAAGGGGAATATTTTAAAAATCCTAGCAGATGGTAACATTTCTGCACATTAGCACACCACCGTACACTTTCAGTAGTCTGTTAAAATGGCCGACGGGGAAGGCTGTGTATAAGGACATGGTCTGTCTATTTTACTTTTAATATTAGGCCTTTAACAAAAAGAATGACTTGAATACTGACAAAACGGCCTCGGTGTTAGGGAGAGAACAAGGCACATTTGAAAACAATTAGCAAACAGGTGTGGATCATTACAGAAACACAAGGGCAGGAAGTGGACTGAGACATGATACAACAGCAGAGGAACAGCAACAGACTTCAGATAATACAGACAAGATCACACACTAAGGACATATGACCCCACCTCCTCCAAAAAAAGGGAGAGCTGACCTCAAACTGCTTCTCCGATTCGATGCAGACAACACATCTGCTGGATTCACAGTTCTTTCTCCACTCCTGCAGCAAACAGAAACAGAAAAGTTCATGTCTCCAAATAATGAACAACTTTTCACTTTTGTGGATGTCGAGGCGACCAGCAACTGTTGTTGTCAAAAAGGAATTGGACAGGGTCCTGACATCACCTGCCCATCAGCTCTGAAACTCTAAATAATTTTTGACAGACATGATCAAAGGAGACTGAGACCTAAACTTAATGGGAACAAGGTAGTTTTGACTAAACAAAAATGAACTGAACTCAATTCATCCCGCCGAGCATAAAAGACACAGTTAATGACTCTAAAAATAAACCAGTCCAATCCAAACTAAACTGAACTAAACCATGTTATTGTAGGTCAGGAATAATTTTCCCAAGATCCCTGGAAGGAAAAATGGACAATTAGATTATTTCCAGAAATATTTTCTTTTATAATGTACTTCCTGGTTGGCTGAGACACTACATGTCGGACGGCCTCATTTCACAGAGTCAACAGAAAACTTCCAGACAGATTCCTGCAGCACAGACATTATGTAACCGTGTTGATGAAGTGGTGCGGGGCACTTTGATGTTGCTTTGTTAAGGATCTGTGTGATTCCATGTGTGTGTGTGTGTGTGCATGTGTGTGTGTATGTATGTGCGTGTGCAGCTGGCGATTATAATGTTGGTGTGTTTAGTTTGAACACATGACGTCGTCCCGTGTGAAAGCCACTCTGCAGCCACGTGCTGTCCAGCTCAGCAGAAAAGACATAAAAAGGATTCTCGGGGCCGATTGTAGATTTGTCCTCAATATGGCAGAATGTTTTGTCCATTTAAATGTTACGACCAAAACACAATTTCATTCAAATGTTAGTGTTGATGGAAGGTTTGTTTTCTCTCATCTACAACACTGCTGGCTGCTCAGGGTCATCATGTGTTCCAGCATTAAAATTCTTCCTTTAATGTCAGTCATTAGCAGTGATTGGGACAGGACCAAAGGTCACCAGTGAGTTCCATTAGTTTGACTTTTCTCTTTGTTCTGGTGAATAAGGGAAAGAAAGATTTTTAAAAAAAACTGGTGAATAAGGGAAAGAAAGATTTTTTTTTAATGTTTTTGGCAATATTCCGTCCTCAGCTGAACTCCTCGAACCTGACGTTACATGGAACCAATTAGTTTGCCTTAAATGGAGGTTCGGGCCATACGATATCTAAACATGGCTCTGTAAATGGAGCATAATTCAGTAAACATTGCAAAAACCCATCCATGACGTGCACTGTGCAAGGATTTGGACGTACACAATGCGGTTGTGATGTTTTTGTTCAATTTCATCGTGGCTGTTTATGTTTGTTCATGTGGAGAGCCAAAGCTGTTACAGTGAATCCAACAACAGAATAGAAGTACAGCAGAGGAGACGTGGAAATGATGCTTTGTTTTCAAACCGATCGTCATGTTTGTTAATGTGATGAGTGACATGTTTTGAAAGTATTATATATCTAAGATGTGAAAGTCTTGGTTTGATTTAGAGACAAAGTTCAAACTTCAGCTTTGACACCGTATAAACTATTAAAACTGTGTAAACACTGTGGGCTGTGATCAAAGACCGCATGGCTTTGTTGAATGAATTTGGTTGGAATTGGATAATAACGGAGTGAGTGGAAAGGAATTTGAATTTTTGAAGGTGTCTGATTTGCAACACATTGTGATCGAGCTCAGTCTCAGTCTCAGCTCAGAGTCTTTTCCTAAAACTGTAAGAACCTGAAACCGAGGAACTCAAATTCAATCATAAAACCAGACAAAGAAACAGGTCATGACCAGGTGCAAAAGAACCGTTGCTTGGTGTTTCGGTAAAGTTCTCTATTTTTGAAAAGGGTTTTCATTGGTTCTTTCAAAATATCTGCCTCACCACTCTATTACAAATACAAGGAGTATTTGTTTAATTACCACTTAAAAATTCATTTTTAAATGAGAACCATCTCAGAAGCTTATGCAGATGATGGATTTGTGTCCTATTTCGTTGGGATATTTTACGATATAGATATTAAATTATGTTGTTATTTCAATTTTAAACGATGCCATTACAAAAATGGATCCATATGCCCCAAAATGAAGTCATAGGACTGGTGCGGGGGATTTTACTGTATTTTAATGGCAGTCATTTGCAAATGTCAAATTAAAGCTGCTACACAGTGATTAATCATCTGAACGTGCCAGTTTTTGTGTGGTGGCTGCAGATGAAGGAGATGGATTGTTGGTGGCGATGGACTCAGTGTGATGTCACAGCTGTGACTGATGCAGTAATCAGTGTTTTTACTGCTGCCCTTCTCATAGTTTTGCTTTAACACTGTGCCGTGTATCGCTCCCGTCTGCTCAGCTGTGACTGCACACTTGATAAAGTATTTTTCCAAAGTGGTCAGCATTTTCCCATCGTACTGTATCACTGCTGCAGACTCAGTGGGATCTGATCACATCTCTATGCATTTTTCTAGTTTTCTTTCTCCGGGGTCACCACCACCGTGGCCAGTCTGTGAGCGTTGGAACAGTTGCTGAGCCACATTCTCTCTTTCTGACCCAACCCGTTCTATTTACAGGGTCGGAGTTTCAGAGATTGGCATGTAGCTGGATTAGAACCCTCTGATTCTCAGAATAAAACACAGATGAGGTTTTGACTTAATTTTAACTGGAAATATAATACCCCCCCCCCCTCCCCCGACCCCACAAAGATGGGACAGTGGAAAATGTGACACAACTTACAAAAATACCAATTCAAGTTACAAAATACAATGAGTTTGGAGACATTTGAACCACTGCTGCGTTCCCGGAAATGTATAAAATATAAATACAAATATAACAGCTTTTACAACAGCAGTTATAATGCATTAGAAAATAGAAATAAATCAAACAGACAATGCCTCAGTAGTGGATGAGCTCATCTGAGGTTTGACAGGTTCCACAGATGACCACTCTGTTTAATTCACTACAGTTCTATGATGTGCAGATCTCTGACTCCACAGACTGGAACTTTCATGCTTCTCTTGGCTCCACTCAGATACATTTAGCAACATTTTTTTCCATTTCCATTTCCAAGGTAATGACCACAAAATCAAGTCTAACAAGCTGGAGAATAGTTGATTAAACAGCTTGGAAACTGTCCTGACGTCCCTCATTAAAGAGCCTCGTCATCGTGCTGATTAAAAGATCTGCTCTCGTTTTCCAAAATTATTTTTCTTACCATTTTCCTCAAATATCTCCTACATTTACATATCAATGACTGTACTGATTTAACTCTGCTGCTCATCATGGAGACCCACTCTCATAAATTTCCTTGGACCATGAAGACTTTCATGTTGGACATTCCAAACATTTCATCAGTTTCTTATTTTTCCCACTGGCAGGAATGGGCCCTCTGTTATATTACTTATGGAAAAACAGCACAAATGTCCGTAGATGGCAGAGTTACCGCTAAGCCAAGTCACTCTTGACCTTTAGGTGACCTCTCTACAGGGGTAAGAACAAGAAAGCAGCGATGTATAAAGACAAGAAAGGAAAGAAATAAAAGAAAGGAGGATTAGGCCGAACAAAGTGGAAAGAGAGAGAGAGAGATGCAGTACAGTATATGTGTACAGTACAGGGAGCAGAGGGGAGAAGAAGAGAGAGGGGGGAGTGAAAAAGAGTTTGGCACTTGGACGGAGAGCACGTCTCCCCCTCTTCTCCCTTTGGCTTTAAAATGTGAAACAGCCCTTTGAAGAGGAAGAGAGGGGGGCAGTCCCGTACTCCCATCCAGCCTGGACAGTGGGGAACGTTTAGTGTGTGCCGACGCTAACACTGATACCAGACACAACACAGAGTCAGAGAGCCAGCTGAGGACCTGACAGAAGACAGGCATGAACGACATCAAGCTGGCCTTGCTGGGCAGCGAGGGGGCCGGGAAGTCAGGTGAGTGAAGACAGGGGTTTCAGACTTCACACAGTTCTGTCTGAGGTTTATGTTCGTTTCTCAAATACTGTAGGTATAAAAATAGTCTGCTTTATATATAAAAAAGGAGCATTGTGGTCAATTAGCAATGTTGACAAGATATGCTGCAGGAAAAACAAAGTTAAGTAACTAGTTGTCTCTAAATGATTTACCTTAATACTCTTTGAGGTGGTAAAACACATTAAGGTCACTCCAGTCATAAATTGCAATTATTCAATATTTAATATATTTTTTATTTAATTTAGTTGTGTGATTAAGGAAAAACAAAAGTCAGATAACTCAGATAATCTTTTTCAATCACTTAATAAAATGATTATTTTTTGCAGCCTTTGTTTCAATAAAGAAACTCTCTTAAAGGAAGTTGACACCCAGCTGGCTGTATCTCAGTTTTCTGATGATGATCTACATCACCTCTACTTTAAACACAGCTTAGGTTTCATGTTATATAACCACAAAAAAAAAAAAAAAAAAAAAAAAAAAAAAACCCACTGTGACTTATTGCTTGCATTCACTGAGGCTTAACAGGAAAAATGATAGAATTTGTGGCTCCACAGAGTGAGAAGGTGCATGAAGAGGAGACGACTGAATCCACTTGAATGACAAAACAGAAAATTAACAACAAACAGTACTGTGTCCTGAGTCACTGCAGATGGGAATCCATCAACTGCACCACTCGAGCACTAAAGAAAAACAAAATGTTTTATACTTTATAACTGGATTATTGCAAATGAACAGGCAGAAAAGAACGAGAAAGGACAGGGGGAAAAGGTCAGACTCTGTACAAAACCTTTTTATTTTCCACATAATTTATCATCTTAATCTATGGCCTTAATGGTTTCAGAGTAGGTTTAGTTATTGAATCAATTTTGAAAAATTCTCATTTAGAGTAAAATAGACTTTAAAATAAAAACATAAAAATGTGTTGCCTAGAAGTGGACTTTCACTACATGGGGCTTTGGTTGTAGTTGGAGATATTTAGGTTTTTAACACTAACACTTTTAACATTGTCTCCTATCATGTCTTCAAAAGGAGCACTTTGTGTCACACCCTGATGAATGAATGATCTCCATTTACTATACAGTATCTGTGCGTAAAAATGACACAAAGCGAAGGGTTTCTTTGAGACTCATGTTCCTAAAATGTGATTAAATGCTGCTAACAAGTCAACTGATCTGATCAGCAGGAGGCTGATTCACAGACAGGAAGCCATGTTGTTCTAATTAACCTACATCATCTCTACTACTTTGGTTTTCCCTGTTGTGCAGATGATTGGCTCAGCATTTACATAGCAAATACCTTAAACACATGATGAAAAAATCCTCCTAATCCAGAAGCTGCTACAGTTTATTTGTCCACACCTCAGATGGGTGAGGTTAAACACATTCTCCAGAATATGCAGCGGTAGTTGAGAGGGCACTGAGGGTAAGACCCCGCTCCTTGTTGTATATCATTAGGGGTTAAGAAAGACAGGCTCTGCACTTTGTAAGAATTACATAAAACAACAGGAAGTCTATTTTCCCACATCCTGGCAGTGAAGCAGGGCAGTTAACGTGGAGATTCTTCAGCGTCTGGAGTCTGTGTGTGTGTGATTAATGTTTTTCTGCTTCTTGTTTGGATTGTGTTTGTAGCTGCTCTTAATATTTATCTAATTAAAATACCTCCGTTAAAGGGACGTGAAAAGTGTTTATTAGTCTTGCGCACAGAGACAAACAAACACAGTGGCTGTTGTGTTTAGTAAACACCAGTGGCGTACAGAGCATTTCTCACCTAGGCCTTCAGTGTGTGTTCTTTGACCATCCAATCAAATCGCCAACCAGCTCAAACTCTGATTGGTTAAAGAAACTACCTTGTTGTCGTTTATTTTAGACCCCCAGTTCCCCGAACCATACTGATTCTGAAGTCATAGGGCTGATTATTTTTTCACCCTGGCAACACATGACGCTAAAATATTATTGGATAAAAAAATAGCAGAGAAACCAGAGACAGGTTTAGAGCAAGAACAAATGATAACTCTGAAAACAGAATACTCTGTATAATTGTATTTATTTATTTAAGTATTCAACTCTGAAAACAGAATACTCTGTATAAGTGTATTTATTTATTTAAGTATATGTATATGATAAATAATTGAAAAATAACTCAAACACTGCAAATCCATCCTTAATCCTATGTAATCCAATGTAACTCTAATCTGACCCTAATTCTAATTTTGACTAAATGCTGAACTTTAAAATATCCTTTCTCTCAGTGGGAACTTGTAAAATGTCCCCATGAGGACAAAGCGTCCCCACAGTAAAGCTATACTAGGAACACACATGCATGCATAATCCACTGTGCCATATAATATAGACATATTTGTGTCCACAAGGCCTAACTTTAACCCCTCCAAAGTCCCTCAG